AGAGACTGAGGAGAAAAGTGATTTCTTAAAAAGTAAATTAAATTATATCACTCTAGTGTTTAAAAGCTGACAGAAACTTCCCATTGTCTTTAGACTCAAGTTCATGTATTATATATATAGCACATACAGCATTTCATTATTACAAAGCATATCTGCTGTTTTCACAATGTGGACACCATCTCATTTCTGGCTACCTCTCCCCTTGCATATTACACCCCTACCACGCTACTTTTCTTACAAGTCCTTAAGCACACTATATTCTTTCCTCCCTTAGAGCCTTTGCAACCTTCCAACCACTCTTTACACAGCTAGCTTCTTTCCATCCTTTAGGTTCCTCTTCACAGAGGTCTTCCCAGTCACCATATAAAGCTGCCTCTTTCTCCTATTCTACATCTCTACCTGTTGTACCCTTTGCTATACTTACAACATTAAAAAGTTTACTTATTTTTTGTCTGTCTTTCCATCAGAATACATGCTCCATGAAGAATCTAGTTGTCCTGTTTTATAGTTAAAGCCCTAAGATTCACCACAACATCTGGTACATTACAGAAGTTGAATATTTTCTGAATGAATGAAAGAATAGTTGTAGTTTCATATCAACATAATAAATCTTTAGAATTTTTTATATGACCATTATGTATTATCAAACCCAATTCTATTTTATCTGTAAATTTTATTTGCATGCCTCCCTTTTGTCCATTTGCTTATTCATTCACTCATGAAAAAAAAATTAAAGAGTTTAAGTGTCAGCCTTGGAGATTATGAAGATGAATAAGCCATGTTCTTTACCTTTTAAAGACTGCACCATTTATCAAGGAAAATCAATGTGGATAAATAAAATTATACTTTTATCAAAAAAAGTTATTAACTCAAGTACAAAACCTTAAATCTAATTAAAATGTTGTAATAAGGGAGAAAAAAGATGAAACCTTTGAAACAAGTAATAGTCTAGTACATCTATCAAAAAAGGAAATCAATCTAATTAGGCATCACTTTTTTTAGTGAATCCATTTTGACTCTTGGTGATCATGTCTTTCTTCTTGTAAATGTTTATATCTTTTAAGTATAATATATCATAATTAATTGTAATATACTATTACCAGGACTTTTTGTCAAATTTAGGTTCTTCTACAATGAGAATAATTAGGGAAAAATCCATTCAATGGCATACTTTGATTTGTTTTTAGTCCCAATATCTAATTTAAATTTTATTTAAATATTATTAAAGAAAAGTGAGAGTACTGTACACTTATTGAAAGGGGACATAAATGAAAAAAGAATGAGAATCTCTACTGCAGGCAGGCAGATTTCAGTTAAATATAAGGAAGAACCCTCTAGTAATTAGAGCTGCCTACCATTGGGCTTCTTGTAAAAGCAGGAAGCTATCCATCACTAAAAATCTTCCAAGGACAGGGAACAGGATATTTTCCCCAGGATAGAGTAGAAACAGTCTTGATTTAGCAGGCAGCATTGATCAGATCAGTGTCCCTCACACTATGGTGAAGAAGCACTTTTTTTTTTAAATGTCAAATTTGTGGTGGATGATACATTTACAAATTACAAAAGTATCACACATTTGGATGTTGTTGCATGCAATGTGCAACAATGTGCAACTGCTATAAAGGTTTCTAAATACTTCCTTTTGATTTCTGTCTTTAACTTGTTGCATACAGGTAACAAATTAGCTCACATGAATAAACAAACTACACTTTTGAGTATCAACCAGATTAGAGAGTTTATAAGAGATGACTGAAGTTCTACAGCTTTTCAAATTTACATTTTCTGTCTTCCTATTTACACTAAGTAATAACAAACTACTTATTTGCTAACAACCCACCTCTCTCTTTTTTTTTACCCACCTCTCTTTTTTTTAATTTTTATTTATTTATGATAGTCAGAAAGAGAGAGAGAGAGAGAGAGAGAGAGAGAGAGAGGCAGAGACACAGGCAGAGGGAGAAGCAGGCTCCATGCACCGGGAGCCCGACGTGGGATTCGATCCCGGGTCTCCAGGATCGCGCCCTGGGCCAAAGGCAGGCGCCAAACCGCTGCACCACCCTGGGATCCCAACCCACGTCTCTATTTAGCAATTTAAAAAAGCATCATCTAAAAGATATTTAAAAGACATTGATCTGAAAGCATTAGATCAACTGAGATTTTATCTCACGAAATTGAATAGCGAAATTTACTTTGTACCAAAACACATTTGAATGTTCATTTAAAACTGGTTACAAAAAATTTATTTTCAAAATTAATTTCCCCACACCTAATTTTCTCATGTCACTTTCTTTCCATAAGCTGATAATGAAATGTGTGACAAATTCTTGTTGATCACACATTTGAAGTTCTAACTTTGTCTTACTATACTAGCTGGCAGCAAAACCAGCAGAAAAGCGACTTGGGGATGAAGTGGGGGTACATTTATGAATTTCAGAAGCATGGAATACAAGATTTAAATTTTTGCAAGTACCTATATAATAGTCAGCACTGACCTTGCCAAATCAAATATAGTAGTCAGAAAAAGAGGAGACAAAATTAAGAGCTGCCCGTTCTCCTATTTCCCCCATTTCTTCTGCCTTTCTCTCTCAGAGGACAATGAGACATTTTTGTTTAAAATCTGTTATCTTCTTCTCATTAAAAACAAAACAAAACCACTTTCCTTCTCAAGAGACCATTTCAGGATTTATGAGTTATCTCCCAACTCCATCATCCATAAATACTTTCCCTCCAGTAATGCCAATATTCCTTTATTCACCCTACTTTTACAAGAGCAGGAGTTCTTAACTGTGAACATATGCATGGGTATTGGGAAATCTATGAACTCTCTGAAACACCAAATGTTTTTAAAACTAGGGGTGAATGAACAATTATATGAACAAAATGTCCACAGTTGTCAATACATTCTTAGAGGGTACAATAATCCAAAATAATTAAAAGCATCTTTTTTTAAAGATTTTATTTATTTATTCATGACAGAGAGAGAGAGAGAGAGAGAGAGAGAGAGAGAGAAAGGCAGAGGGAGAAGCAGGCTCCATGCAGGGAGCCCGATGTGGGACTCCATCCCGGATCCCGGATCCTTCGGCCCTGAGCCGAAAGCAGACGCTCAACCGCTGAGCCACCCAGGCGTCCCAAAAGCATCTTTCTTAAGTAAAAAAATGTGATCTTAATAGAAATAGAGGGTACAGGTTCTTCATTAATAGAATAGGCAAATAAAGATATTATATTACTTAACAAAAAGGACTTTAGAAATAAATCAGGGGGATCTCTGGGTGGCTCAGCGGCTGAGCGCCTGCCTTCAGCCCAGGGCGTGGTCCTGGAGTCCTGGGATCGAGTCCCACATCAGGCTCCCTGCATGGAGCCTGCTTCTCCCTCTGCCTGTGTCTCTGCCTCTCTCTCTCTCTCTCTCTCTCTCTCTCTGTCTCTCATGAATAAATAAAATCTGAAAGAAAGAGAAAGAAGAAAGAAAGAAAAAGAAAGAAGAAAGAAAGAAAGAAAGAAAGAAAGAAAGAAAGAAAGAAAGAAATTCATTTTGTAGAAGACAAAATTGATACTTGGAGAGGTTAAGGGAATATTCAAGGTCATATTGCTAGCAAGAAAACAGAAGCCAGAGAAAAACACCAGGTTCCTGCTTCCAGATCTATTCCTTCACCTCCTGCTACTACACAAGGCCAGAGAGGATATCAGTAAGCATCATACAGGCAATCAACAATCCCACCTCTGATAAATACATGACCTCAGAATAAATCAAATAATTCCGTAAATACTACTGGCTCAGAAAACACACATTTCCTTTTCTTACTAAAGATATCTAAAAATACATTTTCTCTTAGACACATTCTAGAACTTGATTCCTTGCCAGTAGGCACAATCAACAACTTGTCAATCATCTGAAAGACATGAGCGCCTGATCCTACTGCAATCAATCAGAGAAGGGCATACACTTGACCTGGAAGGGACAAAGGATGTTTAGTAGGAGGCAGAGGGCTTCAAGGAGGCACTTTAAACACATTTCTTTCTGAGTCAATTACTCTGAAAGCCCACAATGCAAAGTAAATTAGTTGAGTGGATCTCTTAGTAACTGTTGAAGCTATTTAGAAATTTTAAGCAAAACCTCTTTTCAAAGTTTATTCTCTTGTTTATTCACACTAAAGAACAGCAAATAAAAAAACCCAAAGATGATGTTTAGTGAAAAGAATTTTTATAGTACATAATTAAATGAAAAAACTGAAAAAGAATGCCCTACTTTGGTGTCACTTAGGATGTGTACAAATCCAAAATTTGTTAATTTTTTTTCAAAATAACAAGAAAACTGAAAGTCTGTAAATAAGAATCCAAAAAACCCTTCACTCTCCTCCCCCACTCCACCCTTGACTTCTGAAATACAGTGCAACTTTCTACCATCTGTTATTTTAGAAAAGAAACAGTAATGAACATATGGGCTTTCTCTCTCAAGCAGCTGTAGTGTAGTTAAAGTTATAATAATTGTCTTTCTGTAAGATAAATTTACATTAAAAACCTGGCCAGTTAAAAACAAATGGCTCAGCCTCAGAGCCTTCCAGAATAAAATTAAGAAATTCAGAATTATCTATGACATATTACAGAGATTTAGAAGATATCCTCTAAATCTTATGCTTTTATGTTTAAGGTTAAACAAACATAATTCATGATGCCCGTATCAGTTTACAGAGTCCACAACTCATGTCTTCTCTTTCCCAATCAAAATGCTAAGAGCTTCAAACAGAGGCTAGGTACTCATATATAAAAATCAGTAACTAAGTTCTTGAAAGCTGATAATATAAATCTACCACTTCTGTGGGTTACTGAACTCTAATCCAAAAGCTTATTTATTTATAAGAAAAATCACAATACGCATGGCACATAAACTTCCATTTCAACTATATACATATCACTTATATATACCACTTATAATGAGTTTAAGTAACTGAAAGGAATTCAGAGCCGACACAGATCCACATATTATGAAAAATAGGAATTTTACCTACCTTTATCTGGATGATTCAAAATCATAATTTTCCTATGAGCTGTTCTAATCTTGGCCTTGCCAGCAGATGGGCTGTAAAAAGAAAATTAAAGTGCTTATAATAAATAGTGTTGAATGCAGATTATAAATTAAAAGTTTATATGGGTTTCAAGGAATTAAAAACTAATGAGAATTTCACCATCTTGTGGATAAATATGAAATTACAGCTTGTCAGTTAATTTTACTAACCATCAAAATAAACTATTGATTCAGTGTTGCATGTATTTTTCTTCCTTTGTAACGCCAGTCTCTATTTTCAATCAATTTAAAAAGTAAAACACAATAGGGGCACCTGAGTGGCACGGTCAGCAACCCACTCCTGGTTTCAGATCAGGTCTTGATCTCAGGGTCACAAGATAGAGCTCCAAGTTGGTCTCTACGCTCAGCCTGGAATCTGCTTGAGTTTCTCTCTCCCTCTGCCCCTCCCATTCATACTCTCTCTCTCTTTCAAATAAATAAATCTTTAAAAATAAATAAATAAAACCACAATGAGATACCACCTCACACCAGTGAGAATGGGAAAATTAACAAGGCAGGAAACCACAAATGTTGGAGAGGATGCGGAGAAAAGGGAACCCTCTTACACTGTTGGTGGGAATGTGAACTGGTGCAGCCACTCTGGAAAACTGTGTGGAGGTTCCTCAAAGAGTTAAAAATAGACCTGCCCTACGACCCAGCAATTGCACTGTTAGGGATTTACCCCAAAGATTCAGATGCAATGAAACGCCAGGACACCTGCACCCCGATGTTTCTAGCAGCCATGTCCACAATAGCCAAACTGTGGAAGGAGCCTCGGTGCCCATCAAAAGATGAATGGATAAAGAAGATGTGGTTTATGGATACAATGGAATATTCCTCAGCCATTAGAAACGACAAATACCCACCATTTGCTTCAACGTGGATGGAACTGGAGGGTATTATGCTGCGTGAAGTAAGTCAATTGGAGAAGGACAGTGTATGTTCTCATTCATTTGGGGAATATGAATAATAGTGAAAGGGAATATAAGGGAAGGGAGAAGAAATGTGTGGGAAATACCAGAAAGGGAGACAGAACATGAAGACTCCTAACTTTGGGAAACGAACTGGGGGTGGTGGAAAGGGAGGAGGGCGGGGGGTGGGGGTGAATGGGTGACGGGCACTGAGGGGGGCACTTGATGGGATGAGCACTGGGTGTTATTCTGTATGTTGGTAAACTGAACACCAATAAAAAATAAATTTATTACATCAATCAATCAATCAATCAATCACAATATATAGGGTAGGAGAGTCATAGTCTATATACTGAGTTTGAAAACCTATGCTTCAAGTTATTTGGGGGGAAGGTAGTTTATGTAGTATAACAGACAAGCATCTAGACTTCAGAGCCAGATTTCATTCCCATTGCTATTTAGGATGAAGTAAATTTGGCCAAATTATTTAACCTCTCTACACTTCAGTTTCCTCACTGTAAAAACAGGGCTAGGAACAACAAATTGCTCATAGAGTGACTGTAAGGGTGAAAGTATTAGAATAGTGTCTGACATGTAGCAAGTGCTCCAAAATAGTTAGCTTTTACTATTATTATGTTTCAACAGAGCATCTCAAAACTCTTCACAGCTCATAACTTATTTAGCTTGTGAGAAACCTATGGGAAAAACCTCGCTGTTAGAACCTTTGCAATAAACAAAAAATGAGAAAGTTAAATAAACCTAAAATTATTTCAGTAAAACTAGTTTATCCAGTATTGAAAATGTTTCTCACTAGAACATTTTCCAGGCAAGGAAACAAAATTGACACTTAACAACAACAAAATTCTGATATTGCTAATTAATAGCTATACTATCTTATCTAAGTACTTAACTTTTCTGGGTCTCAAATGGGGATAACAGCATCTGACTTAAAGTACAGAGTCGTCATTGTAAAGCTCAAAGTAATTTAATTTGTATGAATGAATCACACTGTATTGGCTAAAAGCAGATACTTTTAGAGATATTCAGACATAGGTTCAACATCCTGATTCCACCATTCATTAGCTACAAAACTGTCTTGCTCACTTAAACTCTCTGACTAAAAATTTTCTCATAAGTAAAATAGACATACTAAACTACCTCCTAGGATCATTATTAGCATAACCTAGCATAGAGTCAGTGTTTAAGTGTTCAAAAATAACTAATCCTTAATTATTATTATGAAGATAAAGGATGCTTATGAAAATATATTACATATTCCTACTTTTAAAAATGAAGTATAATTAACCTAATTTAATGTTTCCTGAGTAACTCAAAAGCATTAACCTGAGTATAAATTAAGTGCAAAGAAATTCTTAAGGTCTGCAGAGATTTGCTCTCCCTTGTCTTAAGGAGTCGGAGAATACTTTCCATTTAAGTTCCTCTGTTTTTAGCACTTCCTCCCTTGCTATTAGCTGTCAACCCTTGATTCTGCCATTGTTCCAGTCTAACTATTCCTTGACAGTTACTTATACTTCTAATCTTTTGAGGTCAAATAACAGATCACCAGCATGTTAAAACACACAATCAATTGCTGAATATGCATATAAAATATTTTTCCATGAATAAAAAAAAATGTCTTGAGTCAAAGACAAAATGAAAAGAGAAAAAAATATCTTGAGACAAATGCAAATGAAAATCTAACACAAATTTATAGGATGCAGCAAAAGCAGTTCTAAGACGAAAGTTTATTGTATAAATGTCTATATTAAAAAAGAAAGAGCTCAAATAAACAACCTCATTTATACCTCATAGAATTTGAAAAAGAAAAAAAAAAGGAAAAACTAAGAACAAAGTTAGTTGAAGGAAAGAAATAACAAAGATCCAGAGTAAAAATAAATGAAACAGAGACTAAGAATCGTTTTTTTTTTTTTAAGGTAAGCAAAATACACAAACCATTCGCTAGACCCACCATAAAAACAGGAGAGAAGACTCCAATAAAATCAGAAATGAGGGGCACCTGGGGTGGGGGTGGGAGGGCTCAGTGGTTGAGCAGCTATCTTGGGCTCAGGTCGTGACACTGGGGTCCTGGGATGGAGTCCCACATCAGGCTCCCCACAGGGAGCCTGCTTCTCCCTCTGCCTATGTCTCTGCCTCTCTCTCTCTGTGTCTCTCATGAATAAATAAATAAAATAAAATAAATCAGAAATGAAAGAGAAGACATTACAACTGATGCCATAGAAAGACAAAAGATCCTAAGAGACTACTATCAACAATTATACACCAACAAAATAGACAATGTAAAAGAAATAAATTTTAGAAACATACAACCTGCCAAGATTGAATGAGGAAGAAATAGAAAATCTGAACAGACCAATCATTAACAATGAGACTGAATCACTAAACGAAAACCTCCCAACAAAGAAAAGCCCAGGACAGAGAGCTTTACTGAAACCTACACAACATTTAAAGAATACCAGTTCCCCTCAAACTTTTCCAAAAAATAGAAACACTCATTTTATGAAGCCAGCATTATCCTGAAGAACACTATAAGAAAAGAAAATTAGGGATCCCTGGGTGGCGCGGCGGTTTGGCGCCTGCCTTTGGCCCAGGGCGCGATCCTGGAGACCCGGGATCGAGTCCCACGTCGGGCTCCCGGTGCATGGAGCCTGCTTCTCTCTCTGCCTGTGTCTCTGCCCCTCTCTCTCTCTCTGTGTGACTATCATAAATAAATAAAAATCAAAAAAAAATTAAAAAAAAAAAGAAAAGAAAAGAAAATTACAGGCCAACATCCCTGATGAGCATAGCAAAACTCCCCAGCAAAATATTAGCAAACCAAATTCAACAAAACATTAAAAGAATCATATATTATGAACAAGTAGGATTTATTCTAGGGATAAAAAAAGTGGTACAACACTCACAAATCAATGTGAAACATCATAAATGTGAAACAAAATAAAGGATAAAAATCATATGATATTCCAAAGAAATAGAACAGACCAACTGACAAAATTCAACACTTATTCATGACAAAACTCTCAACACAGTTAGTATAGAGGGAACATACCTCAACATGATAAAGGCCATATGACAAATGCATAGCAAATATCATACTCAGTGGTGAAAAGCTCCAAATTTTTCTTCTTAGATCAGATATAACGCAAGGTTTTCCACTCTCACCACTTTTATCCAACAGAGTACTGGAAGTCATGGCCAGACCAATTAGGCAAGGAAAGGAAATGAAGGGCATCAAAATAAAAAATGAAGAAGTAAAACTGCAGATGACATATTAAATAAAGAAAACCCTGAAACTGTTAGAACTAATCAACAAATTAAGTAAAGTTTGAGGATACAAAATCAATATACAAAAATCTGTTACCCTTCTATACACTAATAACAAACTATCAGAAAGATAAAGTAAGAAAACAATACTATTTACAATTGCAGCAAAAAGAATAAAATATCTAGGAATAAATTTAATCAAGGAGGTTAAAGACCTGTATACTGAAAACTATAAAGCATTGATGAAAGAAATTAAAAACACCAATAAACAGAAAGATATCCTATGGTCATGAATTGGGAGAATTAATTCTGTTAAAATGTCCATTCTACTCAAAGCAATCTACAGATCCAATGAAACCCCTATTAAAATTCCAAAGCATTTTTCACAAAAATGGAACAATCTTAAAATTTGTATGGAACCACAAAGACTCCAAATAGCCAAACCAATCTTGGGAAAGAACAAAGCTGGAAGCATCACGCTTCCTAAATTCAAACTATATTACAAAGCTATAATAAGCAAAATAGTATGGTATTATGTTAAAAACAGACACATAGATCAATGGAAGAGAACAGAGAACCCAGAAACAAACCCATGTATATATGGTCAATTAATTTATGACAAAGGTGCCAAAAATATAAAACGAGTAAAAGATAGTCTCTTCAATAAATGGTATTGGGAACCCTGGACAGCCACATGCAAAGGAATGAAACTGGACCCTTATCTTATATCATAGGCAAAAAATCAACTCAAAATGGATTAAACCCTTGAACTAATTAATAAAGACCTGAAACCATAACTCTCCTAGAAGAAAATACAGGGGGCAA